GGGGGCCAACTGGGTGGGGGGACCAAACGGCGGTGAATGCGTCTTGCCGACGTGGAACACCAAACTATTCGCCAATTCGCGGCTTGTGCTTCTGCATCTATGGCGCGCTGCAGTTGTGCGCGTTGTGCAATGTGCCGGTGAATTTGCATAGCTGCAATTGCGATAATTTGTCCACCTCTTCGGTCAATAGTCGGCATAGATATGGTCCAATTAGAAAGCAGGGAAAAACATCGAGCGAAGAGCTATGGTCAAACCCTCTACAAGCACTTTCGTACCTACACAGCATGCTCGCCGTGTACGTACATCTCATATCTCCGACCCAGAAGATCCCTATGAGAAGAATCAATGTGTCGCATTGGCAACAGATCTGGTACAAGGCTAATTGCTGCAGCACTTGGCTCACAATGAGCGCATCAGGTATGGTGTTGTTATCAGGCCAAAACGTGTGCTATCTCCATGTGATTTTTCGTATAGCTTTCACCTCCTTCTTTGCCTGGTTATATGCAGTTGAAGGAGAGGCAGTCACGGGGAATATATCGAGATGCCAATAATTGAAGAACTGTCGGTGACCGTTGTGACGGAGACACGTCCTCTACATGGCACCTCTGCTAAAACTGTAGTTTGAACAGCCGTCATGTAGCATACGGCCTTTGAAGGACTTCTTCACTAATAACCGAGCCGCTGGTGAGACCAATTCTTCTGCTACTAAAATTCGTAGTACCAATAGCTTCAGTGGCGCACTAGAAAAAGGAAATCTAATCCTAGCGACAGCCACCGGGTCAATATCTACTACCATTCTTCTGCCAATTTGATTCCAAGCCGAAGCCTGTATTCTCTACTAGCTCGCATACACTCTATGCCTCCAGTAACAGCCTAACATTGAGCAGTCAACGCCCCATTTTTCAGCAACCTCTTTTAACGTGAACTGTACTCCTAGATCTCGCGATCCCGGATCTGCAATTGCTTCATCAATCGGAGCTATGTATAGTTGGGGAGTTACCGCGCACTAAGTTTATAGTGTCAAGATGCGCGTTCGTGTTCCGTGGGCACACTACCGACAAGTACGTGACAACGTTGTAGAAGATTTTACATAGTAGTACTAGTATGTAAATACCCGCGAACACCTGTGTACACCTCTAATACTTACTACACAACAACCCTCTACAATCTAATTTGTGTAGGAAACCTTGTATAAATTAGACTGTAGAGGGTCACGTAGAGGTTGCGCAAGCTCAGTGTGGGCTAGCTGCTCAGCTCAAGGGAGGCCAGCTACTCAGCTCGAGGGAGACCAGCTTCTCAGCTCAAAGACACTAAACAGTAGCTGTTGGCCTTTATGCAGCCAAGTCTATAGAAATTCGGTACATGGAAGTTATGCGCGGTCATGATAGCGACATGTGAGACGCAAAGTTGGCTAATATGGCATCGTATGCGAGAATACGGCGACCAAACAGACTAAGATGAGCATTAACAGGACCTCATCTTCAAGTATAAATAATATTTCCATCCACATTCCATTAAGCCCAAGTGCCCTCATCAAAATTCTCTAAAGATCAAACACCCGGCTTCGATAACTCAAACATAAAACCATCACCCAAGGTAAATCATGAAAACATCTTCCTTGTCGGCAACGCCAGCTCACTTCGACAGAAAATGCTCTTCCGCACCGCCATCATCTCTGGCCTTCTTGTCGCGCTCAGCATGACGAATAGCGTCGAAGCCAGGAAGTGTGCTTGCCAAGGAGGCCCACCCAACTCACAGGCAGCGTGCAGTGCCATCGGCGCATCATATGGGTATGGGTGCGGTTTTAGTGGATGCTGCGTCAACCCAGGAACCCAGGAATCGAGGTTTAGGAGCATGTGCGTGGAACTCGGTTTTGGATTCTTGCGGTGCAACGAGTGCCCGACATGCTAGTGGTACTATTCTTAAGTAGTAGCTATACATCTACCTTGAAACAAGCACAGAGGCGTAGTAGCTACAAAAATCTACCCATTTATCCACAATTGTTCACCTAGATCACGTGACAAAGCCAGACCCTCCCTAATCCTACTCCCATGCTTACTTAGGCCTCACTCACAGCTAGTCTTTACGGTCAATACTTAAAGAGTATATGTGGTATATCACTACCATCGTATATAACCTACTTACGATCTAACCTCATACTAGTACTAAGGATACGTAGGCACGCGCTACTACTCGCGTTCTATATCTTAATAGTTCTATCCTAAAACGCCAACGCTAGCTATGTAGAGTCGTAGAAGAATGCTACTAATTTAATACTACTCCTATAGTTCTTGACATTCTGTATACATGCTCTATCACTCATATTCTAGATCCCAATAGTATTATTTTTGAACGCTAACGCTGGCGGGGCTAAGTCGTGCGAGAAGGCCACTAAGGTAACTATGCTACTATAACCCTCAAGCGTCTATAGGCACCCACTATAGCTGTTGCTTGTTACTGACTCAATAGCTGCCCTAGCTAGAGCTCCATATTATTGTTGTCGTCTCAGGTAATCCTTAAGATGTGCGTTACTTTAACCACTTCTTCTAAGTATTAGGTATTTAACTAAGTTTCTTAATGGAAACCGTAATGGCGTATAATTGGATAGATTCCTTACTTACCCTATATCATACGTCATTTAAGAGCTTTCGTGTTCGTTAGAAAACACTTTATCTAGATTTTATCGAAATTAATGTTACCTCTTTAGTCTCTTCTAAAACTGTACAGCATATTGCAAATCATTTCTGCTAAGACGCAAATAAACCGCTAGCGCCTTTGTCTAGTTTAGCTAGAGTATTTTTAAGAGCAGGTATTAACTTACTGTGTTTCGCAGTTATTTTAACACAAAGTGTAATTGAAGTTTCAATCTGAAAGCTGAACATAGGATAGGGCGAGCGAGGCAAAAAATAGGGCAGGAGGTATCGACATAGGATGAAGTGAGAGAATAGGTTACTTTAAGTTCAGTCTAACACGAAGTCTATAGTGTCGTCTCCTTGGCCAATAGGATTATACTAGGCGAGCCTCACGTAATAAGCATGCAGTGTAGAGTCCTTCGAAGTGACGGGATGCTGATATAGATATAGTGTAGTTGCGTATAACGTTAATGGCAGAGAATTGCTGCACAGATTCTAGTGGCGTCAAGATCGGAATCTGTTCAAGTGATGGCTGTTCAACCTGCGAAGGGGGTGGTGTTTCAGTTGGTACTTCATCGCTTTAGCCTGCAGACGAGGATTACCATCGGGTATTCCTTCCCCAGACTTCTCCCCAGAGCGTTTCTCAAGGATCCTTTCGTAAACCACTGCTTTCTTTGCTTTTCTTGTTGCTTTTATCCCCTGTGAGCGTTGGGTAGCATCCAAAGCATATATTTCGCACCATCCTTAGCAATGCCATATATTCCTAAACGTTTCTAAGCTATAGGGTCTTGATGCGATTTTATTACCTCCATTACGATTATAGGTCATATATTCACGGTCTAAAAGTCTCTTAGGTCCATCTTCGTCACCTATCCAAGGTTAAGGCTTTTACATGTAGTTACACTGTAGTGTTGCGTTCAAGAATCGTGTAGTGAATAAAATGGATTGCGTCTTGACATATTTCATAGCCCACATTCCTTTTCTGTTACTCTTACTGTTTTCTCACGCAGACCAGGGGCTCAGAAGACTCAGACGACTAAAAGGCTATGCATCCCCAGATAGTGTACTTTGCATCAATCAAGGTACCCAATATTGCAAGGGATCGAGTTCTTGGTACCATGGTCAAATTACGTCCACCACAAGCGGAGAATTATTGATGTTTAGGTACCAACAACGTCTTCCAGGCTACAACAAGGCCATTACTTTCAATGCGGCAGGTCAAAAATAGGTAGTTTCGTTGGCGGACAGGTTGTAAACAACAACTCCTCTTCTAGCCTGGTAAGTCAGCGGGAAGAACGGAAAATTGCCGGAACTATGCATTACTACGGATTACATGGAGCATATTAGTGTTGGGCCTTCGTGTCCGTATGTACATCTTGAGTGTGTTAGTCACGTGATTAACGCATGTTCCAAGCTCACCGCGTTGCTCAATCGCGAGCCGTGATTAGCTGTGATAGCGGCGCTCAATGCACTGCTTGCGTCAATGCAAATCCCAGCGATTAGTCTGATTAAGGTCACAATAGTTATCAAGCACTGCCTTCGTGCTTTGTAATCTGCCTCGCCCTTCTTGGCGCCGATGGTAGCATCGACAATGTCGATAAAAGACAGCACGTCCTCATCTAAATCCGGTCTTTGTCTTTGTACCAATCGCAGCACTTCTCTTTCTGGTTGATTCGTCTAGTCGGCGGGGTTGTCTAGCAAAGCTTCCGGGCCACCCGTAGTTGGCGCAGCCCACGAACGGTGGCGACAATTCCTATTAGTGCTATCAACTCTTGGAGGCCCAATCGAGGATGCACTAATTGCTACGACCGAACTCGTCGTCGCAATCGCTATTGCACATATGGGCGAGGTGTACAGGACATATATTCGTGCAACAGCCTTCTATGTGTTGCGCTACTCCTGCGCGTTGCAATAGTATGATATCTCTGTCGCTACGTAAGTATTGCAGCCGTCGTCATCGATGTGGCGCGATGGTACGTACGTGCGGAGGCATGGGTGGAAGGGCTGACTGTTACTATACGGTGGTCAGCTATGCATAAAGGACACGGTTCTGGACTCTCTCAACGGCTCGTGTTTGCCTCCAGATTAAGAATTATCGACTACGCGTTGCGGTGTTTGCAGTACTAGTTAAACTTAATAGCAGTTCGTATGTCTTGGTACCTTATTCATGATGTGCCGATATCCACAGCCTCAAAACGCTACGCATTGTCGGCACGTTGAGCTGTAATCAGGCTTTTAAGATGCGGTGACATGCTGTTGCTGGGAACACAAGCCGAGAAAAAAACATCTTTGCGGTGTACAGTACCTCTGAGAGCTCGGCAGGACGCTCAGTTAGGCGGTCTAAGTATACGGTAATTGAGTTTAGCTCCCAAGTGACCAGAAGGCCGACCGAGAAGGGGTACAACTTCCCACATACACATGGGCATTTCCGCCAATCTGAACTCGAAACCTAATCGTAGCTTCCGTTTACGACTTGAGAATGGGTTCCAAGTCGGAGCAGAATCTTTATGTGGTCAGTATTGGCCGAGTAGCAGGGATAATCTAAGAATAACGCCGATCCCGTCTCTACTCTCGGGACGGCTAGGCGCATGACTTGGTAGAGCAAGGACAAATTTCAGCCTTGCAGCTTCTAACATTGTCATCAGTGGTCGAGCGTCAGAGTAGGGATACTCGATACTTTCTCGTAAATTGCCCGCTTGTCAGGACTGGTTGGAGTGATCAAGGGTCCTATATCCACCGGAGAACACACGGTTCACATACTACGTAGTGCTTATTTCTCGAAGTCCAAAGAACCAATCCACAACAACCCGCACGGTTTTAGTGTCCGACTAAGAATTAAGCTAGCAGGGCCGCCATGCTTATACCTTTAGTCTCTTAAGCTAGCATTCAGAAATATACATATGTAGACAGTCTCGCCCCTCCCTCCTACAGCATAAGCCCGGTATCGTCGGTCAAATCAATCATGTCTCGTCGCCAGCTATGCCAGGCAGCCTTGCTGTTGCAGACACTCATTCCACTCTCATCCGGAGCATTCTTCCAAAACAGCGCTGATGCCCTTCGCGAACTTGATATTCCCGTTGCGAGATCTGTTCATGCGCTAAACCCGCTTCCCAAGCGCAATTCGGACAATTTGATTGGTAAAGCAGGAATCTTATTTCGGAGCAGCATAACAGAGAGCTGACATTGAGGTGTTCAATCAAATAGCCGCTCGATCCACTGGCAAACACAAACACCTCGGCCCCATGCGAACTTACCGGGACGGAACAGGCTATGCCATTGATGTTACGCTCGGCGGAAAGACTTTTGCTGTTCAATTCGATACCGGAAGTAACTCATTCTGGCTACCCAGTGCCAACTTTACATGTTTTGATATCGATAACAAAGTGCAGTAAGTTTGATGCGAAAACTGGCTGCGAAACACAGATTGACTTATACTCTCTGCAGGCCTCAGTGGGCATGCGCTTTTCCATCGTTGGGTCCTCCCGATTACACTGGGGGACGAGTAGCAAATGTACACTTTAACCTGACATATATCAGCGCAGAATTTGCCAGGGGCTCTGTCGGTCTCGAAGACGTAACCATCGCAGGATTGACAGTCCGGAATCAGCAAATGTCGTTGTCGGACGAAGTCTATACCGTCACTGCGAACAATTTTACTACTGGAGTTATCGGTGAGTTTTATCTTCAAATTTTTTGTGATGTCTCAAACAACCTAGCAGCCAGACGCACGTGTTTCTGACAATAACAGGGTGGGGGCTGGGCAATTATACTTCAATCTATCCAGGAGATGATCCAGCCCTTGATAACAAAACCGACCCCAATCACTCCTGGCTTCCTACCAAGACTTGGATTCTCAATGCAGTCGACCAGGGCTTATTAGAGAAGCCTATATTCTCAGTCAATCTTGGTAACAGAACGGAAAACCCTGCAAATTTGAGCGTAACTGGATTCGTGGCTGTAGGAGGTGCGCCACTTGACGGGCTTCCCTTTACTGGAATCTGGGCCGAGTCAAAAGTCAGCACTACGACGTATGCGCCCTGGGGTGTGAAAAACAAGTACACTCACTGGAATGTCAGGCCAGATGGGTTCACAGTCAACCAGACTTTCATACCATGGGTTCCCGGTATCTTTGCCAATAGCAGCACAGAGATATTTACTATCCTTGATACTGGGACGGTGTGGAGCTATATCACTGAAGAGACTGCGAAAGCCATTGCCGACGCGATGCAGCCTCCAGCGTATTACTCAGTGTACGACAGCGCATATGTCGCCAATTGCAATGCTACAGCCCCTGATGTAAGCATTCGCATCAATGGTACGGACCTCCCAATCAACAAGAGAGAATTACTCCTTGATGGTTGGCTTGGTCACGCCAATAAATCAACTAGTACGCTGTGCTGGCTTGGCTTCCAGCCTACTTTGCAGCCAAAAATAGGTGGCACTGCACCCTATCTCCTGGGAAATACATTTCTAAGAAATGTACTGGCTGTACATGACGTGGGAAATTTGCGGATGCTGTTCGCTTCGCTGAAATGGTGATTCCGCTGGTCTAGCATAGATTGAATGAACAACAAGAGCCTTATATTCGTGTAATTTGAACTCATAATCTACCTTGATGCTATCATCTTCTGGTTTGGATATTTCTGATTGAAGAATCAAACTTCCAGCATCGCTTTTTGCCGAGATCACAGCCGTATGGAGCGGTTGAGACGCAACTACGGGCGGAGAGGGGGTTCTACAAGATGAAGGAGTCAATAACTGCTTATTTAGGGGACTCGATATTACATACGGCTTCGTCGGTGAAGCTCATCCATGGTGTGTTTGGGAGTGGGATGGAGGAGTTGGCGAAGTCGGGGGCTTCGCCCTCGTTGCCGGCGTGAGGAGCTGAGAAGACGCCTACAGCTTGGGCGGCCCAGAAGAGGATGGTGGTGAATTTCACTTTCGCGGTTGAATGCAAGTTTAGTGAGATGAGTGATCGATGGGGGAGTGATGATGAGAAATTATGAAGAATGCTCAAGACTTATATACCTTTCTTTTTGAGTTGACTTCGCGTTGTTGATATCTGTGAAACTGCCTACTATATCCGCCTTAGACCCCATTGATCTTCGCTTAGTGTAATTCGGACGATTGTCCCCTCGGTACCATATATTGTGAATTTGCTAGATATCCTAGGCCTGGGGGCCTTATGTAGGGTCCATCACAGGACGCCTGAAGACAAGAGCAAGTCCAACACTATCCAGGCTGAATCATAATCCCGCACCACTCTCTATATGGGAGTTTGACTGAAGATGACTTTGTTGCAGCTTTAGCTACATATTACAATCGGTCCCGGAGGGGGTTTTAGCATTAAAGCCACTGGGTCGTGGAGAATATGTTCCATGCTCAGCGAGAACAAGGGCATAGAGTTAAGATCAATCTGCACCATCGCCAAGGGACCAAACCGTTGCAACGATGCTTGAGTGCCAAAAGATTCAGGGTTCGTTCGGTTAAGCTTTGTTCTGCACTAACTGCACTTGGCAAATTCTTAAGAATAGCCCCAGAGACAGCGTCGTGTGCAGTAACACAAAGCTTTGTTGTGTTTGCGCAACGCTAATAAAAGAGCCCTTGCCTAGCGCAGAATTTGTATGTAAGCCTTCCTCTCTTTGGCAAGACGAATCTCCATTTTAAAGTGGTACCTCCAAGGTACATTTGGACACCAAAACTCCATCGTGCCAGGTGACTGCAGCAGATCTGCTCGTTTTTCGATGATAATAACACATAATCGCGTGTAACTACAACGTAACTATATTGTTACTGCAAAACGGAGCTCCAACCGGATAGCCACTCTGTTTTATGTCCTAATCTATGTAAGCCTAGCTCACAGACCACCCGCTACATTTTAACCCAAAGTAGGCCAAAAACGGAAGGAGCAACTAAGCAGGCTTTCAACTGCTGTAGACTGAGCCGTTGAAGATCTGAATTACTCTAGCGTCCCGTGAGTTGGACGTTTCACGGTCTAGACTGTCCATCTTAGAATACTCGTATCACACCGCTAACAAAGGAATATACTTACCACGAATGAGAGCATTTGCCGATGGTGCTTGTGTTCTCTGGCAAGTGCGCCTTCCAGCTATGTAGTCGGGTTCTAAGTGGCCTGACGGTTACCTGTTTGGGCAGGTTTCCATTGGGCATAAGTGAATATGATATACACACCTGGATTCTTCGTCATTGGCTTTGTCAATCTGCAGTCCTTAAGCGCCAGTCAACCCAAGAACCCTTTTATCCACGCTCAGTCGTCTGCTATACCTAGAAGACCTGGGTAAACTTCGTATAACTTGTTGCTTCCCGTGAGACCGGTGGCGCGCCCGCCGCTCTCTGAAGCCATGCTAGTCCTCAGACTCATTGCGCTTTATGCACATGTGACAGGAACTTATTTTGGGGGCTAATAATGTCCAGCTCCCGCCGCCCTGATCTTTGAAACTTTCTCGTGGCCTAAATTCAAAGCAGTCTCAATCCACTAGCCATTCTCACAAGTTGTAAAGTTTCTCTCACTTTGTTGTCGCCACTCTTTTCGGACTGAGAGATTGAGACGAGGGTAGAATCATTGAGGCAATTGTCACTTCTTACCGACACACAAGTAAAATGGATACAGTGTATGGTAAAGGTACATGGAATTATTGTACGTCTGATGGCATACTGAAACTAGAGAGCTCTACAAACAAGACTTTCTTTGGACTCACTCTTGGTCAGCCATGTATCGAAGAGCGTCCGTTTGGCCGCACTAGCGAGACAAGTGCCAGTCTGAAGCTATACCACTGTCATGGCACTGTCATCTCCTTTGATCTCGCCACCTTTCAAACCCTTCTCACAATCATATTCTCACACCTTGCCGATTACTTCGGCTTCTCCAGCTTCTATGGTGTTTGTTTATATCATTCTTATCTATGATCTCTCACTTTCTCCAGGTCACATTCTTAGTCGGCATGAGAACCAGTAGGCCTTCCAGGTAAAGTCACAGCTGAAGCTTCCATTCTGAGATGTTTATTTTTCTAAAAAAAAAAATGGCACTGCGTTTGGTTTGATTTTACTTCTTCCTTCTTGCGTGAGATGCGGCTTAAATCTAAAAAGCGCACTTAAGCAATCACCTGGATACATTGTGACTATTTCGAGGTGCTTTGCTGGTCCAAGAAACAAATAAAGGTAAAACAGGTGGGCATATGAGCGAGTACTTCACCCAACGTAAAGTTACCGGCGTTACCACGTGCTATACATCGATGAGGATGTGAGATACAGTGGGTATATCAAAAAAGCCTCCACTTCTTCTGACAAGCATTCTGCTCTCTTCTACGATACTATTATCATCCTCTCTTTCCCGTCGTTGTAGTAATGACAGACATCAAACTCGCCCGCCAAGCTGCGATGGTTGACACCGTTTTTCATAACGTCATTTTTTAAAATTTTAACAACCCGGTTGTTGTACTCTACAAGTTCACGTGTATTGGAAGAAGGTTAGATTTGCTACCAGGTATGACTTGATTGTCGTCAGTATCCGTTTGGCGTGTAGCACATCAGATTTATCTTTTTTTCTCCTCAGAAAAGAACCGCGACCGGTTGGATCCTGAGACGGTAGGGGCTGGAATACTACAGTGAGTACTCTGCTTTATCTTTGATATCTCGAGGCGCTATCTCGCATCGCAACTCTCGGACGGGTAAGGGAGCGAGTTTTTCCTGCAAGAAGCAACACTTGGTAGACTAATAGTACATACTATAGTACTACAATCGCATCATCCCTATAAATATCATTCAGCACCACAAGCCCAGTCCTCTCATTCCCTTATCATCCGATCTCAGCCCCCTTCCCATCCCCCAACATTTGCAGCTTCCAGCCGAACCCCCACTAGCCCGACGCCCATAAAGGGGAGAGAGGGGGGGCTGATAAGTAGCGCGGATCCAAAAAGTTCGTTTAGAAGCGCCGCAAGAATCCCGCGCGGCGAAACGGCGCGACTAAGCCCAGCCACCATGATTGGACGCGCCCTATCCACTCGAAGGGGGAATGTCAGCAGCGGTCAGCCCTACGTATCAATTGTTACTCTTTGCGTCTCCCGCTAACAATGTTTTCGTCCAGCGCGCGCCGCGCATATGCAAGGTGCGATCAAGCAAGCAGCAAGCCCCCTCCCAAGGTTCGTATTACACACAGTAGCGTCGTATAGAAATGATTAGGCTCCAGCGATCAGGCCGCTTGGGTGAAATCAGATAATAATAACAATATAACAAAAAGATGACGTCCCGCATTTTGTGTGTTTGTATCTCCCCTTGTTCATCTTCAGTCCCTCTATCTACTCTCGTTCAAACGTCTTTCTTTTCTTTTTTTGTCCAACCATGTTGGCGCGGCCCCCGCAGCTCTCCAGAGCGCTGACTTACTACGCGTTAGCCGCGCTCTTCACCATAGGAATCGTGTACCATTTTGTCTCGCTGCAGGATAGCTTCATCGCACGTGTCCCGGGGCTTCCGGGACATGCCCAGCAGCAGGAGGAGGAGCAGCAGCAGGCGGCCGAAATCCCAAAGCTCATCTGGTACAAACTGGGGCCGAACGGGCTATCTGACGATGCGCGCGCCTGGACAGATACCTGCATCAAGAACAACACAGGCTACAAAGCACACTTTTTGACGGATGAAGATAGCGACGCATACGTCCGCAAGACATTTGCTTTCCGCCAGGACATTGTAGATACCTACCTCGCGCTCCCTATCCCTATTTTCAAAGCCGATCTCTTGCGCTACCTGCTGCTCTGGGACCAAGGCGGCATCTGGTCCGACCTCGACGTATCCTGCAAGGACACCCCTATTGACGAGTGGGTCCCCGCCTCGTACAAGAGCTCCGCCGCCATAGTCGTAGGCTGGGAATTCGACCAGGGCTGGCCGGGTAAATACGTGCGGCAGTTCGCGAGTTGGACGATAATGTCGAAGCCGCGCTCGCCGCACATGATGCAAGTTGTCGACGATATCCTCGAGACAGTGCGGGTGGAGACAATGGAGCATGGGGTTGGGGTCCAGAATGTTACGCTGGAGATGATGGGCGATGTGGTGGATTTCACGGGCCCGCGCCGCTTGACGCGGAGTGTGTTTAAGAGTTTGGAGAAGCAGATGAATCGCACGCTTGATGTGAGTGAGTTCCACGAGATATTCCAGCCGAGGCTGGTGGGGGATGTGTTGATTATGCCGGGCCAGTCGTTTGCGGCGTCTTCAAATACGTATACGGCGGAGCAGCAGAAGGAGTTGCCGCCGCAGTTGGTGGAGCATCATTATGCGGGGAGCTGGAAGAATGACAAGGGTGGTGAATAGAAGGATATTGGGGCGATTGGTTGAAAGAAGGTTGCTTTGCATTTGAGTTGGACGCAAAGTTGGTTCCAGTGTCCCTTGGGTATCATGGACAGTTAGCCATGCGATGGGTGGTCCTATGCATCAGGCAGCGGAATCCGCGCCAGAACATCCACATTGCTGTCGAAAGCAACGTGGCTGCCACGAGCGCTGTCTCATGTGGATGTGGCTCTACGAGGTTTGTGGACAAGACCAGGGAAGATGGAACGAACAGGTTAAGAAAGAGGACGCGCACGATGCAGTATGTGGCGCTAAAGACGGATGCGACCCCAACCTGCATGACGAGTCACACGAAAAGCAAATCAGTCTTGATTACGAAAAACTCGGTTACACAGGGTCCAGCAAACTGTTTGATCAAGCCCAGTAACTTGGAGAGCAGACACGACGGAACGACAAGGGATGGATCCAACGACCAGGGGTATCAAGGTTTATTATATTGCTTGTTTGCCATTACAAGAGAGTATCAAAAATCATAAGTCATCTATCAAGAATCAAGGCTTCCACAGTCCCCTCTTATAGAGGCAGAGATATAGCCCTCCGCGCCTGACTCACCTCGCTCTGCTTATGCCGTGTACTACAAACGCACTTGCACTGAGGACATACCTCACCGTCCACTCGATTCAAACGATCCCAAGTCTTGAGTACCACCCTATCGGCATGTGCCTCAACCTCGTCTTTCTCCTCTACCAGACGCTCTTTGAACTCGACCAGCTTCTCGTTGCACTCGTCATTGAAGGCAGTAAGGTGGTCTTCCTTGAGCGCGGCAAAGTCAAGCCGAGTGTCAGCGAGGTTATCCTCGAACTCTGCGTTAGCTGAGTTGTGAAGTTCAGAAGCTTGATGCGAGGCTTGATCGAGCGCATCAGCAAGTATTCTTTGGAGATGGGTCTCGGTGTAGGCGCTTATGACAGACCTGACGACTGTCGAAGGGGTGAGTTTCTGACTCGGAATTGGACGGTGTTTTGTGGGCGTGTTCGCGAGCTGGCTGGAATGGCGTGTCGGCGACAGAGATGGAGAGGGTGAGTAGCCAGCGAGTACTTCTGGAAGAAGGTCTTGCAGAATGCTGGGAAATTGTGCGCGCATCAGATCTGGGAGTACTTTCTCGACGGTGGACGTGACAAGATCTGGGAGTACTTTCTCGACGGCCGACGTGACAAGATCTTGGAAAATGTCCACTTGCACCGTGGCTGTGGACGAGGCTGTAGATTTTGCGCTTAACGGTGATGCGGGAGAGGCGCGTTCTTTGGGAGGGCGCGGGTATGTATGGTCTTGGAGCAGACGCTTCGGCAAAGGCGAGTCGGGTGTCAAGCTGGTGCGAGCTGTGGATTGTGTATTAGCAATATGTCAGTACTTTGTCCGACTAGAAGACCTACCATTTCTCGAGCGCTTGCCCGACACACGCGCATACGGAGGCGGGGCGTCATCTACCGTTTCCCCAATGGGAGGAGGAGCTCCAGCTACCGCGTCCTCGATAGAAGGCAAGGCTTCAGGCTCTGGATCCTTGGTACAATTGAGAATTGACCAATCTGCTTCTCGATACAAACGGGTAAACTCTGGAATGGCTGGAACTCCAGCGAGCTGGCGAGAGCCCTCGATGGCGCTTTGAAGACGGGCGAGGTTGCTCTTCTCAAGCCAGTTGATGTCAAACAAGATGCGCACTTCTGTCGCCCTGGCCAGCTTTAAAAGCTTGTGAAATCCGGTATGAAGGCCGGACCCTGTCTTGCCTAAAGTGAAGGGATACCACACAGAACAGGGTGTTTTGAGCGTCAGCGACAGCGCTCGGGGCCGAGGTTTCCCATGTCGCGCGATGCTGTGCAAAGATGTACCCGGGAGAGCGATATCAACATTTCCAAGAGACATGTTCCCAGGGATAAGATTGTCACCTTCGTAGCGAAGGGTCAGGAGCTGCGGGTTGACAAGGCCATGGATTGAAACAGAGTGTCCGAGAGACAGGGTAAACTGGTTGTCCGAGTGCAGCATCTTTAGAGAACACGGCCACAACATGGATTCATCATTCACAGGATAAGCCAAGGCGGGAATACCTTGGTTGCGAACGAGGCTGAGCACCATTTTTCATTAGTTCTTTCTACAGAAAATGAATACTTAACACTAGATGCCCCTTTGCAGCAGCAAAGGAAACCCGCCCGCCCGGGCTTTCGCGTTTGGTCGCGCAGAGCAGCCCTGACTCTGTCGCAGCAGCAGCAAGAAGACGCGCCAAATCGTGCCCCACTAAGCCCGGACAGTATCTACCACTGTGCCTTGCTTGAGTATCGCCCCTCAGATGCGCGAGTCGGAACCGGGTAGACCGCGAGGCCGACTCGCTGTGTCCAAGGCCTTGCAGTAAGGATGGCGTACTGGGGCAAGACGACAAATAGTCGATATGGCGGTTTAGCAGCTTACGATAGGCGGCAACCGTGTGAGCGTGCGACGAGATAGTTTGGAGAATGGATGCGAATCGAGGTTGGAGTTGTGGAGGTGGAGTTGTGATGGGGAGTAATGGACGAGGTTGGGTTGGTGTTTAGTACTGGGCGGTCTTCGTCGCGCAGGGCTTGGCATTGCGCTAGGCAGCAACACCATCGACTATCATTCACTCACGACTTCCAACGGTGAAACTACTTGGTGAATACCTTTTTCAGTAGTATTTCCGGTTCTGGCGGTTCTTTCACTAGAACTGCGAACAGTGACATAGCGGGTGGCGAGATTTCGTAGCCGACGACGCTTCTCATGATTGTGGAAGGGGAGGGAAGTTTGATGGGTACAATTGACTTGAGCAAGGCCAAAACGAAGCGAGGGAAAGTAGTATTCAACATTGGGTGGATTAATCCAACTCCTAGTTAGCATAGTACAATGCTGTATATAGTCATCTGGATGCTTGTGTTGTAGAGCTTTTCGGGCACAATAAGCCGCACTTATAGCAATGTGCAAAGTATGACAGAAGCTTGTGGACTGCTAAGAATATCGCTTTTGGTCTAAACCCACGATATGCATGTGCATGTACTATAGGTGCTTACCAGATTAACAAAAATCACATTTTTGTCTAATCCTTGAGTATGAATCATGTTCATGCTTGGTCGTAAATCTCAGTTGCAACCCGCACTGTGTGAATTCTTGCCTTTAGCCACTGCTTATATGAGAATACATACGAGGTAGGGATAAGCATTGGATTTAGATCTCACATAGCCCCACGCCATTCGTTCACCATTTGCAAGTACTATGCCCGTATAGACTTATCCAGATATTCAACCATAGCTAAGTTTATTTCTCACCGACCTCGCATGGTTCATATTAAAGTGCAAAAAGACGATTGCTTCTCTACACCATATTGAGCAGTAATATATACTCTCAACAGTTCATTTGCACTGATTCCAGCCGAACAAAAACTCATCGACGTGATCAATCTATCCAAGACTTGAAGAGCCTTCAATCGCCCCACTTCCTTCAGCCCTTACGGATGCCATCGTCACCATTGTTTTGTGGTAGATTCTGAGGGAGGCGCCATGAACCCTCAATGCCATAGATACTTTTTCTTGATACATTATCAATTGGAGTTACCATAGTCTGTCAGACTACTCCTTGTTTGCACGACGAGTAAACCATGTCATGAGTACTAGATAAACAAGATTATACTCCGAACACGGCTACCCAGCGTCTTAGGCTCGAGCTCACCGAGTAGTGCAACGAGCCCTTCGGTAGATGTACGGAGGTATGTTGGGTTGGAGGAGAGTGTGGGTAGCGTGAAGTAAGGGTGAGTGGATTGACGCACTACGTGCGGCGATAAGTATTGAACACTAGGGGGATTAAATAAGACTTTTTCGTGCTGGATTGACTTTTCTTAAACTGCGATATGACAGTTGAGTCATATCAGATTCATCGTTTTTCTATCCCTCATCGGTGTTATTGCCCATTTCCTATTCCGCAGTTACAATAACCCCCCCACCCCCGTAGTAAATTATATTCTATCAATGTTATTATTTTCGCCTATCAATTCTGTCCAGGGGTAATAACATGTAAGTAATACAACCGGTAATCCATAAGATCATAAGCTGGACGCTTAAATTACCCGATAAGCTTTTTGGTGGGGGTAATGATGGTGTGCATAAAAAAAAGGTTTCTATATGTTGGCGGAAGACGGGAAGGTGGGCAGATTAGTATGATTTTGTTCTGCTTTGGGTGAATGTGAGATTTTGGCGGCGGCGGCGGCGGGGGTGGGNGGAAAGAAGAGCGAGAGGTTGAATGAATGAATCACAGCTGGGTTGATGATGAGATTCGGATGGGGGAAAAGGTGGTGTGAGTTGCGTGGATTGAAGAGTTGTGGAAATTGTAGTTGTGTCGTGTGAAATATGAATGCTGGTTAGGGTGTGGGGTTGTCATGGGTTGTTACCAGGGGTCATTACTACGAGGTATCGAGTTGTTACTGAGCTGAAAACAACAGTTGATCAAACCTTTCTACTTCCTTTGGTCCAAGTATGCTGCTGAACCAAATCATTGAGCCAAGTAGACATAGGCAGCTCTTGAAAATCTTCGCGGCTACCTGCAGTGCATTTATAGTTACGAAGCAACCCGCGGAATACGAAAAAGTAAGCACCTTGAAGACAAGAAGTATTTTGCAAAAGCAGCGCCGACAAACGTCGGAAGTCGGATGTACGTCACGTCAACGGTTCAGACCGTTGTTTCACGCCAGTGCCCGTCGCATTGCGTCCACGCGAGCAGAGTCAAAAACCAAGCATACTTTTTCGTGTGGTGACACGGACGGGATGCGAAACAAGCGTTGGACGCAGCGGGAGTGCGGCGGACTCTAGTACGTACATAGCTATCGATAGCGCAGCGCCAGGTCTAGAATAATCGAAATGGTAGTGACTACTCTACATAGCACGCAGGTGTAGAAGACGAAACTTTGGTCCGGGCCAATTGGATAGCACGGTGTGGTGGGATGGCAAGGCAAGATGGATGCATAATAGTGACAGTACTGCAGCTGCCTGTGACAGTTTGATCAAAGACTTCTTGGCCGACCAATGACGGCGTTGACAAGTGACGTCTTTGAGAGCGGAAGAGCGTCACAGAAAGGCAGGGCGCTCAATACCATGATGGCCTAATGTTTCGTTTCAAGCGAGTCTCACGCCTTTGTTTCGAAGGGCGGGGCGAACCGCTGTAGCAGATTTGGTAGACTGGTGACAAGTTTGATAAGAAGGAAAGGCTTGGTATGGGGGTTTTGATGCAGTCAAGGGTATAGTACGTCAGCGGGTGAATGTTAAGAGTAAGGGTGTGCGGGGTAAGGAGAGTAAGAGAAGGAAAGAAGAAAAGAGAAGGAGGGGTAAGTGTTTGACCGTGGCAGTTTTGGGGGTTTGGGGGTTTGGGGAGGAGGAAGGGACGTTGGGGCCTTGGGCTTGAGCGTTTTTTCCTTCCTTCCAGAACAGCAAGAGCACCAAAATAGCACGACTACTCAATGCTGCTGTTTAGCGACGTGGGGCAAACAGCAGCGATATGATGGGCAGGCCAGAATATCGAATTGCTCGTGTTGCTCATCTGCAATATTGCCTCATTTATTTTGCACAGGTCGGGAGCGGGACAAGAGAGCATAGCGCCGCGGCGGGCTAGCCAGTGAGGACGAGGTTCTTGGAGACGGCGACCGGAAACGGAGTGGAAACTGGGCGCGGTGGCCCTCATTTCCGAGCAATGGGGGAGAGAGTTGGCGGAGAGTCGAGAACCGGCGGCGGGGACAGCAAGGGACAGGCTGGACCCGACACATGGCAGCCTGATCCCTGGGGCATCACAAACGGGTTGTGGGTAGGGCAATAGGGGAAGCCGAGCCAGGTGCAACAGGCTGAGACTGGCATCCACAGTTGTCCGTGGCTGTGTGTAATGCGGCGACGGGCTTGTGTCAGAGTAGTCAAAGTCCGACTGCATGTTTGTGTGTAGTAAGTAGTAGTAGCCTTAGTGCTCTACCGACATACGAAGTGTGCACCGACGACTGTGCCACTGTGGCTAGGGCGGGCGCGCCGTTGCTGCACCATGGCGCATGACGACGCGGCGCAATGGCGACGGGTGCAGCAGCGCTGGCTGGATTGCGCGGCGTCGACTCATGCTAGCAGAGGTGATGGCGACATTTGGCTTCTTTTGTGCAGACTTGTGAAGTCGCGGTGACTGTGTGAAGATGTGCGCCCAGGTCGCGCGTCGCACCATTCCCACGCTTGCACCAACCCGTCGACCCGGCGATGCACTGCTGGCCTGTTCGCCGGGCCACAGGACAATGCCTGCCTTGCTCCTACTTAGTGACGAGCACGTCTTTGTCGAGCATCGCATCGCTATTGCTGGCGACAGCACCGTGGCGCAGCACCGGCGGATGCGTTGCTGTTGCTGGCAAGGTGGACACTGGGCCGAATCGCCATCATTTGCGGATAGTCGAGCTGCACACCCAACGAAGTACTTGGACGATGGACATGGACCGAGGGCATGTGCGTACATGGACGAATAGCAAGTACACATGTACGTAGTTGGCTAGTGGTGACATAGGCACGTAGACGCCAGTGCATGGCGGGCAGGGAGGATCTGCGCGTGGCCGGGATTCGGTTCTAAGCTGGCGGCATGAAACAGCAGGGCCAGGGGGCGGCGGCGAGCAAGTAAAAAAAGAAGGACGAGGGAAAAAAGAGGAGCGCTGGACGCTGGACGCCGTGCGAGGACGGATTCGAATGCGACAGGGCAAAGACGGTGTGGGCAGCCCTCGCGGCTCTCGGCGCCCCGGCGGCTGGCAGGCACGACGTTGGGCGTGGGGCGCTGTGAGTGGCTGCGGGCACTGGCCCCTGCCACCGCTTGTTCCTGAACGAAATTAACAGCCGCCAGGGGCAGGCCACGACGGACCCACCGCACCCACTGCCATGCTTGGCCCCCGGCCTGCACCCTCTCTGCCCGCGCCCTTCATATACCGCCCCTCCCTCCGCTGCTCGATTGCTTTTTCTTCTTCTCTACCCCAAAGGCATCCGTCTTCTACACTCGCTACCCTCTTGTCTTCGGACGTCACATTCTTTGAACCATCCAGTCACTCTTTCCTGGATTTCAATACTTCTGCTTCGCCTGCTAATCCGTTTCCGCCCCGTCTTTTCGTCTTATCCATATTCGATTCATTGTTTAAGAGCAAGGAACTTTTAGAAGACCGCACTCATGATGAAGCTTACCGTCGCTTTCTTGGCCGCCCTCGCCGCTGCCGACGCTGCTGAGGCGCGCAGCCATCGCCTTGCCCGCCGCCAGCAATATGGCTCCTACGGCTCCTACCCTACTGTTCCTGAGAACCAGGCTGGTTACAACGCCACCGTCCCTGCCTCCAGCTCCCCGGTCCCCGTTGTCCCTGAGGCTGCCACCTCCTCCCCCGCCGGCGGCGAGTACGGCGCCGGCTACCCTGCCGCCACGCCTTCGACTCCCGCTGTTCCTGAGGCTGCCACCTCCTCCCCCGCCG